CCCCCCCAATCCTGCCCCCGCCATGGAGGCGCAGTGCGATTACTTCATGTACTTCCCGGCCGTGCCCTTCCCGGCCCGGGAGCTGCTGCGGGGGGAGCCGGGCCGGTACCGGGCCCTGCCCCGGCGCAACCACCTCTACCTGGGCGAGACCGTCCGCTTCCTGCTGGTGCTGCGGGGCCGGCCCGGGCCGGGGGGCGCCCGCACCCCCTGGGGGGAACTGGGCTCCTCCCTGGCCGCCCTGGCCAGTGTCAGCCCCGGGGGGGTCGACCCAGGGGGCGAGGGGGACGGGGAGCCACCTGAGGAGCTGGGCGGGGACGGGGACTCGCCCCCTCCGCCCCCCGGCTCCTTCCGGGACTGCCGGCCCCTGCTGACCCACGGCCAGGGACCCCTGGGGCGACCGGCCGCCGGGGTGAGAGGGGGGCGTGGGGCGCTGGGTGGGTGGGGGCTGTGGGGTGGGTGCGAGGGAAACCCGGGGGGGGGAGGGCGGTGGGTCAGGAGCAAGGGGCACTCATGGTGGGGGGCTCTGTTGTGTGGAGTAGAGCGAGGGGAACCCAGGAGTTCTGGGGCAGGAGCAAGGGGCGGGTACTGGGTGCTGCGGGTCAGGAGTGAGGATCAACGGGGTGTGTGTGGGGCGGGGGAGCTGTGGGGCAGGAGTGAGGGGCACCTGGGGGGACACAGGGGGCTGTGGGTTGGGGGTCACTGTGGGACTGATGGCTCCCCCCAATCCCCCCCAGATACCTGTGGAGGAGCCGATTGTCTCCACGGACGAGGTCATTTTCCCGCTGACGATTTCCCTGGACAACCTGCCCCCCGGGACCGTCAAGGCCAAGGTGAGTGAGAGGGGCCGGGGCCCTGTGGGACAAGGGCCGTGGCGGGGGGACCGGTGGGGAGGATGGGGGGGCGGGAGTGGGGCCAGCCCCCCAGCGCTGACACACACACACACCCCGCAGATCGTGGTGACAGTGTGGAAGCGGGAGCAGGAGGCGCCGGAGGTGCGGGAACGCGGGTACCTGAGCCTGCTGCAGAACCGGGCGCCGGCCCAGCTCTTCCGCGAGGAGCAGGGGGCCTTCAAAGCCCAAGGTAGGTGCAGCCCCCGCCCCACGGCCCTGCCCCATGGCGCCTCTCAGTCCCGACCCGCAGCCTCTGCCCCACAGCGCCTCTCTGTCCTGACCCGCAGCCTCTGCCCCCAGCCCTGACAGCCCCCTCCCCACAGCCCTGCCCCACAGTGCCCCTCAGTCCCGACCCGCAGCCTCTGCCCCTCAGCCCTGACTGACAGCCCCTGCCCCACGGTCACTCCCGACCCTCCACCCCGACCTTTGCCCCCAGTGACTGCTCTGACCTCTGCCCTTTGCTCCCGCAGTGAGCACCATGCTGACCGTGCTGCCCCCTCCAGGGCTGAAATGCCGCCAGCTGAACGTCTCCGGGAAATACCTCACCGTGCTCAAGGGTAACGGGGGAGCCGGGCTAGGGAGGGGTAGCAGGGCTGGAGGGGGTGCTGGAGCCGTGGGGGAAGGGGTAGCAGTGCCGGGGTGGGGGCCCTGGAGCCGTGGGGGGAGGG